CTTCTTAGCTCTCATTTGGATTGATAATTGAACCAAAGTATAGAAAATCGTTTACAGGTTCAATTTCTTAATTGTCAACATTAAAGTTGTGTAGTCATAATTTTTGTTTTCTTGATGTTCAACTGTGGTCCTGCTTTAGCAGTTTCCTCTTTCACTTTCCCTAACAGTTGTTTCAAGTATTGGCTTCTTTTGGCCAGTAAGATAGGGTCCTCTGCATATCTTAATTATTGATGGTTCTTCCTCCAATTTTCAATTCTCCTTCATTCAAGTCTAATCCAGTTTTCTGTATGATATGTTCTGCATACATATTGAACAACCATGGGAATAAATTGCACCCTTTTCTGACACCTTAGGAAACTATTCTGTCTCTCCATATTCCATTCTAACAGTAGCATCTTGCCCACAATACAAGTTATGCATCAGGACAATCAAGTGCTGAGACAAACTCATTTCTTTCAGATCAACCCATAGTTTCTCATGATATACAAAATCAAAGGCTTTGCTGTAGTCTATAAAGCATAGACTGATCTTCTGTAATTCTTTGCTGAGCTCCAGCAGGCAGTGGATATTTGCTAAATGATCTCAAGTGCATCTGACTTTTCAGAATCCAGCTTGAAAATCAGGCATTTCTTGCTCAATATAAGGTAAAAGCCTTATCACTTTGCTTGCATGGGAAATTATAGAAATGGTCCTACAGTTACTGTACTCCTTGGCATCTCCTTTCTTGGGGAATGGAATGAATATTGAACACTTCCAGTCTGTGAGCCAATGTTTTGTTTTCCATATTTGTTCACATAGTCTTTTTGGATTTTGACAGATTCAGTTTCTATGGGCTGAAATACTTTTATCAGTATTCCATCTACTCCTGGTGATTTATTTTTTCCTAGTGCTTTCAGATCAGCTTTCATTTCACTTTCTAGAATTACAGGTTCTTCATCATAGGATTCCTCTTCAAATGGGTTTTGTAATCCCTTTAACTCTTCTGTATAGGTCTTCAATATAATGCTTCAAACTTTATTTTCTCCTGGTCAGATAGTGTATATCCCTGTTGGTAATTCGGCATTCCTAATCTAGGGTTGGATTTCTTCTGGAAAAGGTATCTTCTTTCCCCTCTTTATTGTTCTCTATTTCTTTGCACTGGTTATTATTATATTTCCCTTTGTCTTTATGTAACAGTTGCTGAAAAGCTGCATTCAGGACCCTGTTTCTGTCAACTTTCACTTTTTCCTTCTCGCCTGTCCTTAACCATTTTAAGTGTTCCTTCTGTTATCCATCTGGGGTTTTCTTTTCTTTTTACTACAGGAATATTCTTTTTGCATTTTCTAATAATATCTCTGGTTTCAATAGACATTTTTTTTCTGGTTTGTGGTCAATTGAGTTTAGTATTGCAAATCTGTTCTTTATATGGATTTGAAATTCATCAGGAATGTTGTTTAAAATTACATTTTGTCACTATGATTCTTTCAGTGGTCTTGATTTCAACTTTACTCTAATGTTGGGCATAACAGTTCTTTATCAGTACCCTAACTTGCTTCTGGTCTTATTTTGGCAGAGGGAATACACATTCTCTACCTCCCGCTTCCAATTATGTAGTCTACAGGTATTTCAGTTCTACATTGGCCATCTGGTGATATCCCTGTGTACAGTCATCTGTTTGGTTACTTGAAGCATGTATTTGCAATAAACAATCACTGGCTTCCCGGAACTCTTATCCGTAACTCTCCTACTTCTCTACCTCACGGATACAAAACAGCCTATGCCCCCGCCCCCTACGGCAGCGTTTGCCCCGCCCATCCACTTCTTAACTTTCAATCAAAGGAGACGGTTAGCCCCGATTGGCTTCCCGGCGGGATGTTGCCCGCCCCCGCAGGAGAAGAAGGCGGGGAAAGAGTCGCCGGCGCTTCTCTTCTGCCGCGACAGGGCCCGCAACCCGGAAGCGGCGGCGCCGATGCCGTGCGTGGGGTGCTGGCGTGGGTGTTTGGCTGGAGGCGGCGTGAGCTCTGCTTGGCAGCTAGGTAAGGCGAGCGCGCTAGCGAGCCAGCCAGCCAGCCAGCCATTCATTCTCCGTGTGGCCTGGTTGACCAAAAAGAGGGCCCGGGCGAGCTAGAGCTCCTTCGCAGGGATGCTTTGGGGAAGGGGCGCCTCTCTCCTCGTAGCCCTGGCTTCGGCAGCAGGTGTGGTCTGGCTGCAGTACGGAAAAGGTACAGAGCCGACGCCCGCAGGCTGGTTCGTTTCACGGCAGGAGACACGGGGGTGCCTTCCCAGCCGGGACCAGTCTTTCTAGGCCCGAGTGGGAGTTGACCTGTTGTGCTTGCGGGCCGTCAAGTCGCTTCCGACCGAGGGCGATCCTCAGAGGGCTCCCGAGGTGTGCGGGAAGGTCGAGGAGTCGGGGTTTGGCACTTTCCACGGCGGGGAGGGACTCGGGTCTCCCTCATTCTAGTCCGGCACTCCATCCGTTACACCCAGACTGATTCTTAGGCAAGCACCTTCAGCATTCTCCAATTTAAATGTACTTTCCCAAGGTGTCTGTAGTTCACCTCATCTCGTTTGTTCTGCACAGGCAAGCTTAAAGCATTAGATTGATACCATGTACGTAGGTGGAATGACCTTGTATTAATTAAACCGAAGGAAAACCATGCAGCACAACCTGAACTGAACAGATGGAATGACCTTGTATTAATTAAACCGAAGAAAAACCATGCAGCACAATCTGGTGTAAAGTCTGTTCAGTTCCATAAGGAATTCCAGGTGTGTGCAGGGACTGCAGTTTTTAAAATTCTGGAAGAAGATTCCAAGGTAAATACTGTAGATAATTTGGTCCCACAGCATGTTAGGAAGATGTCTATACACTAACTACTCTTTGATCTTAAACATGTATGTACACATTCCAAATAGATATGGAATTCTGTGTACAGGTCACTAACTACTCTTTGATCTTAAACATGTACGTACACATTCCAGATAGATATGGAATTCTAGGTACAGGTACACACACACACACACACACACACACACGTATACAGACTGAAGCCCTAGAACCACAGAACAAACTACCCGATACACATCCTTGTTTTTGCATATAAGGTGATGAGAATGCCATCCCTTTGTTCAGGTCTCTGATTATCCATTTCAAGGATCCATCAATTGATTTGTCAAAGGGTACAGTACCATGAAAATGTGCTTTTATGTCTTGAAAATCTTTGGTGGGATTGTGTAAGGTCTGTTTTTCCAAGATCTCTGAGTCAAATGTTTTGCACTAAATATATTACAAGTAGTAATATATATATTTTTAGATGTAACATTTCTAAAGGAATAACTGCTGCTTAGGAGGCCAGTTTGCCTACAAAACAAATGCCGTTGGAGGTTGTGTTGTGCTTCTATGTATGAGGATGCAAGTCGATGACCCTCCAGAAAAAAAAACTATGCATCCCTTGTGGCTGCTGCTGTATTTTGGAAAACTGAATGGGCGTTTGTGAAGATCCTGAGCGGGCCTTTGCTGTCATCTTGGGAGATTGGGAAGGGGGGTTGCAGCAGTGTTGGCCCTGGTGTGTAATGAGCTCGTCCCGCTGTCTTCTCGTTACTCTGTAGGCCCTACAAGGCTTCTTTTTGAAGTAATGCTGCTAGATAAAGAGGCAATTCCTTGGCTCTACTATGGGGTTCCTCCGTGTTCTTGGTGCTTTAAAAAAAAAAGAATGCGTTTCCTTCGTCGTCGCCATATATTTTTAAAATTCAGCGCCCTTTTTAGGAGGCGCTTATACGTTCTTTTCGTTGGACGTTTTGCTCTGCGGGCAAGGCCGTGCACGCTGCTTTTTCTCTCTCTCTCTCCCTCTCCCCCCGCCCCGCATCCCGACCACATCCCTTCATTGCGCTCGATGAAGTTGTGACACCCCGAGCGAAGGCTGCTTTGTGCGTGAACTTGGCGACTGGGTGGTGTGCGCGCACACACGAAGGCGGGGGGAACAGAGCGCAATGCGCGGTGACGCCGGGCCGGCTTGGGCCCTCCGGGGAGCGGGGAAGGAGAAAGAGGCCCTGTCGGTGCTTGGCTTCAGCGCCGCCCTCGCGCTCTCGGTAGGAGCCGCTGCCGCTGCTGCTGCCGTCGCCTCCGGGCTCCGCTCAAGGGGCCGGGCGCTGGCCCAGCGTTCCGAGGCTTCGTGAGGCGATGAACCGCGCACCGGGCCTTCGAGCGGAGCAGCCGCGGCGCCCGCCACGCTCCCGCAGCCTGAGGCGAGGGAGCGCCGCTCGGATCAGCGGTTGAAAGGGCAGGCCTTCACCAGGCTGCCAAACCCCCCGGGGGGCCGGTACCTTGGACCGGCGAGTGCAGCCCGGCGGGGTCGGCGGAGGAGGCCCGGCCAGGCGCTGGGGTCGCTGCCGCCACAGCCGCCTTCCGAGGGACAGCGAGGCTGAGGGGGGGACCGAGTGGGGGGGCGGCGGACGGTCGTCTTCCCCGTCCGCCCCTTCCTGCTCCTCCGTTCTGCCTTCGGTCCCTTCAACTCAGGCCACCACGAACCGACCGGCTGCTTGGCCGCCGCCGCCTCCCCTCGTCCCTTTCCCGGGCGGGCGCGGCCATTGTGGCCGCCCTCCCGCCGCCGCTGGCGCCGGTGGCTGGGTTGGCGGGAGGATGATTACCAATACGCGGGGCTTCCTGTGGTCGGACCTGGAGACGCGAGCGCTGCTGGAGATCTGGGGGGAGGCGGACGTCCAGAGCGCGCTGGACGGCAACTTTCGCAACAGCCATGTGTACCGGGACGTGGCCTGCCGGCTGGCCGAGCTGGGCTTCGAGCGCACCCCGGAGCAGTGCCGGATCCGCATCAAGGGCCTCAAGCGCCAGTACTACCAGGCCCGCGAAGGGCTCAAGAAGAACGGCCACGCCCGCAAGATCTGCAAGTACTACGATGAGATGGACCGCATCCTCAGC